GATGCATCAATGAGTAAACAAATACAGTGACTAAAAGCTTCTCTCATACAACTCCCACATGCAATATTGAGGGATGTCATCTATATAGTAATAGTAATTAACAAGCACTCTCACATATCTGCTATGTTTATCTTACCAAGATTATATGAATGGAACCTCTTGTAAAGTAAGATCTCTTTCTCAATGATAGAAACACAACTTAGAGACCCCATTTGTTAAATAGCAGTCATTAGATGGAAAAACTCCCTACAAAGAAAGTTATGATAAACAGAAAATTTCACATGAAATTTTAGGGAATATCTATTTAGAATCTTAAAGAAGATGCCTTTTTATGTATTTTCCATTCCTTATGTTGATAAGACAAATTATATTTGGATCATGTCAATTTATCTTCTTAAAGAAAATACTGACTCAAATTGCTTTGTTTCAGATCTAGGTCAAATACTGCAAAGAAGTTCAAAAAATAAGTTTTGAAAATGTCCACTTAAAAATAATATCTTACATGCCTCTAGGCTACAACAGTATATAAGATGACTTGTATTGACTTGTTATGAGGCTGTTAAACAACTGTCACATATCTTCATTTCAGGCTTAACTATTTTAAATGATGAGTGATGTACATATACACATCAAGACAGAGTGTTGATGAGTTGATTCTTTTGAATGAAAGGCATACACAGTCATTTAAACTCTGCAATTAGAAATTCCCTATTGAATTTTCATTTCAGATCATTTTAATAATACTTTGTCATGAAAAAAATTAAAAGTTCTCTCCTTGATATGTTTAAAGCCTAATTTATTCTAGCCCTCAAACTCAGTGTTAAATTTTTTAAATTTTAAGTTAAGAATTTTAAAAAATAAAAAGATCTCAATACTGCTTCCACAATTGGGGCCTGCTCCAAGATGACCAAAAATGTTTGTCTTCATTATAATCCATAATCAATTCTTTTCCCTGTCACCCTGTTCCTTATGTGTTTACTGAGAAAAATGTGCTAGTAGCCATTAATAACTTTATTTTTCAAAATTCATTTCAGCTCTTTTCACATGCTACAGGCAAATTCTAGAGCCTAGATGTACATCAGACAGAAATAAGATAAAAATAGAAAAGGTCATTGCACACAGGGAGCATATATTTTAGCAGGAATATTTAGGAAAAGAAATGAGACAATAAGAAAATATAATATCAAATAATACAAATGCCAAGAAGTAAAAGAGGGCAGGCCAAAAGGCTAGGAAGTGATGGTGATGGCTTGTCTGAGAAAGCAAGACCTGGTCAGACACCCACAAGAATTTCTCTCAAAGAAGGTATGAAAATGTCATGGCAAGAGTGTTTCTACAGAGGAAAACATACTACAAGTACCTAAGGTAGGAACACGTTTGGGGTCTTCCATGTAGAGCAAGAAATCCAATGTGGTTGAATCAGGTGAGCAGGATGACGGTGGGAAGCATCAGGTCACAGGCAGTCAGAGGAGAGACAATGTAGGGCCTGGGGGCCCACAATGACAAGCACTGAACTGTAAGTGAGAGAAGAAGCCATTGAAAAACAGACAAGGGACATGATATGACTTAGGCTTCAACAGAATCACTCTAGCTGTGGTGGGCAGATTGGGCTCTCAGGGGTGGGGGAATGGCAGAAAGCAGGGGCACCAGCTGGAAGGCCACCGCAGTCATCCATGTTGGCGCAGTTACATCATGGATCAAGGTGGGTGTCTCAGTGAGTTCTTCAGGGAAGCAGAACCAGTAGGAGACAAGAAGCAGGGATGCCAGTCTTGCAATTCTGAGTCTGAAAGCCTGAGAATCAAGGAGCTGACAATGTATGCCTTAGCATCCAAAGGCCTGAGAACACAGAATTCTACTGCCAGAAATCAAAAGATGGATGTCCAAGCTGTGGGAGAGACAGTGAACTTGCCCTTCCCTGGCCATTTTATTGGATTGGGGGCTCTCAGTGGATTGGATGAAGCCCACCCACTTTGCTGAGAAAGGGTCTTCACTTATTCCACTGATTCACATGATAATCATGTTCAGACACACCAAAAATCAATGTTTTGCCAGTTTTATTCCAATCGTGTGGGCATATAAAATTAACCATCACAGTGGAAAACGTGTGTGTAGGTGGAGGGGATCTGGTTCTATCTATGTTTTATATAAATTACCACTGACAGGATTTCTAGTGTTAGAGACATGAGTCAAGGCTAGTGTAACTGGATGAATGAGGATGCTTCTGAGAAAAGAAATCTTAGTCCAAGAGCAGGTATTGCGGTAAAAACACAGCAGAAGGACAATGTGGAGACTTAGTGGCTGACATACAACTGATGAGTGACACCATGGCACAGCTTTAAGTACCAAAGACCTTGAATAAGACAAGTTCAATGAAAATCACTTTCCAATACATCATAGTATGCAGAAAATATGAAAATTTGGAAAAAAGATTATCATCAAAAGCATACTATTTAAACTGACTTCAGCCTTTTTAACACAAACTAATAAAGCCAAAAAGGAATGCATTAGTATCTTTAAAGGCAAGAAAAAATGCATTTCTATTCTGAAATTTTATACTGAGAAAAAATAGTCTTTAAGAATAAAGGTAAAATAAATATTTTTAAAAAATAATTTTAAGAGAATCTGGTACCAGAAGAACTCCACTATAGGATATCTTCAGAAAATAAGAAAACGATTTCAGAATAAAGTCTAAAGATGAAAAAAGGACTAAAAAGCATCAAAAGAGCAAAGGTAAACAAAGTGAATAATAACCATCAGGTAAACAATAGTTTCCTAGGTAATTTAATGTGCACAGAATTTTTTAAATAATGATAATGTCATTTAAGTCAGAAAAAGAGCTAATTGAATTAAAGCATTTTAATTTTGTTTTACAGAGGAAGAGGTTAAATCTATCCAGAAACAATATATACTGATGAGAAAAAGATGCATTTTGTAAAAAGGGAACCATAAAGATCATAGTAAAATAATGATAACATTCAGCCTAAGATGGAGAGAGATGAATGGGATTATAAGTATTTATAAGAATTGCAAAGGCAGGGAAGCGAGAAATGAAAGAAGAAAAAATATGGAACAGATGGGGCCAATAGAAAGCAAAAATATAAATATTTAAATTAAATATAAATGAAATAAATATTCCAAATAAAAGGCAAAGGTTTCAGACTGCATTTTTAAAAATATAGTTTGAAAGAAACTATCTAACATGTAAGTATTCAGAAACAGAGAAAATGAACGTTCTTAAAATTATTAATGAAACTGAATCCATAGACAAAATTGGACATCAAGAAAATTTTTGTTTTAATGGAATAATCAGTGAGATAAAGGAGTAATATAAAAGTTATGTGATCTTTTGTAGTGGGTAAGGAAAGTAGGAACACTCTATCTGTTTTACAATGTGAATATAAATTTGATATCAAAATCTAATGAAGATATTTTAAGGAAGGAAAACCGTAATCCAATTTTACTTGCAAACATAAATGAAGGGGTCAGCGCTGTGGCTTAGAGGAGTGAAACCAATGCCTGCAGTTCAAGTATCCCATATGGGTGCAGGTTTGAGTCCTGGCTGCTCCACTTCCAATCCAGTTCTCTACTAAGGCCTGTGAAACAGTGGAAGATGGCTTAAGTCCTTTGACCCCTGCACCCTTGTGGGAGACCCAGAAGAAGCTCCTGGCTTTGGTTGGGCTCAGCTCCAGCCATTGTGGCCATTTGGGGAATGATAAACTTGACAAAGCATTTATTCCAGGAAGAGAAATTTCACTTCACAATGGAAATTCAGTATTTCACTATATTAACAAAAGAAAGGAGATACAATACCCACTTATGGAAAAATTCCTGCACAATAAGAATAAAGAAAATCTTCATTAGTCTGATAAAAATATCTACAAATACATGTACAGCAAATGTTACTCTTGATATTTGCTGAAAACTGTCCTTCTGAAATAAGGCAACTCATCAAGATCGATATTTTGAAAACTTTCCCTATGAAATTAGGAAAAGGATAAAGATATTTATTTGTCGCCCTTTCTTTCAGCACTTTTGGTAATCTTGAGCTGTACAGAAAGACATGAGACATACAAAAAGAACTGTTGCAGAAGAAAATTTGTTTCTTATATTTCAACTAAAGTGACTAGATAAAGTCACAATTAAAACAAACTCTCTCAGCCGGTGCCATGGCTCACTAGGCTAATCCTCTGCCTTGCGGCGCCAGCACACAGGGTTCTAGTCCCGGTCGGGGCACCGGATTCTGTCCCGGTTGCCCTTCTTCCAGGCCAGCTCTCTGCTGTGGCCAGGGAGTGCAGTGGAGGATGGCCCAAGTACTTAGGCCCTGCACACCATGGGAGACCAGGATAAGCACCTGGCTCCTGCCATTGGATCAGCGCGGTGCGCCGGCTGCAGCGCACTGGCCGCGGCAGCCATTGGAGGGTGAACCAACGGCAAAGGAAGACCTTTCTCTCTCTCTCTCTCTCACTGTCCACTCTGCCTGTCCAAAAAAAAAAAAATAATAATAAGTTTTTAAATCAACAATATATTAGTTTAACAAAGTAATTAGAAAGAAGGCAGTTAAGAATTGATATTAAAAATACCATTTACAATGATGTTCACAAAGTAAAATATCTTGGAAAGAAGTCACAGGAAATTTAAATTTTCATGAGGTAGAAAACTCAATTTATCTGTAAGTTTGATGCCACCTTATTAAAACTCTCAAGAAATTTCTGTATGTGATTTAACAAACTAATTCTCAATGTATATGAAAGAAAAGGATTAGTTAGATACCATTAAAAAGAAAAATACTGGAGAACTTGCACAACTAGTTGTGATTTTAAGGATACAGTAAATAAGTCAATGCATCATTGGTGAAAGAAAATACAGATTAATTCAATGGATTAGAGATCTGTGCATATATTTCTGAAAAAGGTAATAAAAGAAACAAAAAATCAAGGAAAAGGAAAAAATGTGACTGAGACAACACGATAGTCAAATAGACAAAAAATGTTGATTTTCAAGCTATGATGAATTTTATTGCATTGATCATCTGACATGACAATGTATTTTTTCCTCTAAATTTTTGAGGTTTAAAAAACATTTTTTAAAAAGCATACTGAATTTCACTCCTGCTCAAGTTCTATGTAAAATCAAGGGCAGGTGTTTGATGCAGAGATAGGATGCCACGTGGAATGCCTACATTCCATATCAGAAAGCCTGAGTGTGAGTCCCAGCTCCACTCCTGACCCAGTTTCCTTCTACTGCACACTGTGGGATGCAGCAGGTGATTTCTAAAGCCACGAAGACCCAGACTGAGTTCTAGGCTCCTAGCTTTGACCCAACCCAACTCCAAATGTTGCCAGCATTAGGGGAGTGAACCAGAGAATGTCAAGTATCTTTATCTGTCTGCCTTTCAAATAAAAATGAAAATAAATAAATAAAAAGTAAGATCAAGATGGAGCATAGAACCAAATACAAAGGGGAATCCACAAAGCATCCTTCACTGCAGGGAACTCATTCTTAAACAGCTCACACAAAAATTCATTAATCATGAAGATAAATATTGTTAAATGAGGCTACAGTGAGAGTATAACTTTTTATTATAAAATACACCACTAAAGGATGACAAAACAAACTTCAGAATGGGAAAAGATATTTATAATACATTACAAGTTTAGCTCTACAATATACGGAGAATTTCTGCAAACTATTAAGATAAACAATCCTATAGAAAAAGGGGCAAACAGCATCATGAGAGAGGAAATCAGCATATCCATAAAGATATGAAAAGGTTCTCATAAGTTGTAAAGAAAATAGAAATTAAAACCAAAAGAATACATGCTATAAAAACAGTGTTCCCTAAGATTAACCAACAGTGATAGTATCAACAAGAATTCAGAGCAAAAAGAACTAAATATTGTGATATAATATGAAGTACATTTAGTCTCCACTCTTCATTCCTGACTTATAGCTTTGGAAACCCTATGGATAGGGGACAATCTTTCATTCTACCACCTGGGCTTCGGGCTCTCTTTTTCTAATATTTATTTATTTTACTTGAAAGAGTTACAGAGAGAGAGAAGAAGAGGCAGAGAGAGAGAGAGAGAGAGAGAGAGGTCTTCTATCCACTGGTTCACTCCCCAATTGGCCACAATGGCCGGAGCTTTGCCAATCTGAAGCCAGGAGTCTCCTCCAGGTCTCTTACGTGGGTGCAGGGGCCCAAGGACTTGGGCCATCTTCTACTGCTTTACCAGGCCATATTAGAGAGCTGGATTGGAAGTGGAGCTGCTGGATCTTGAACTGGTGCCCATATGGGAAGCCAGCACTGCACACAGCAGCCTTACCCGCTATGCCACAGCGCCAGCCCCATTGGGTCCTCTAACACTGAGCTCCTGATGTAATATCTTTGTAATTTCCTTAGTAAGAACATCTGGCAAAGCTCCTAAGCCCTTTAGAATCTTTCAGGTTAGAAGGGATTTCCTGTTCTAATGAGGCAACTCTTGGTGGGCACCCAGATGGCCTTAAAAATAGCAGGTTGTTTGCCAGAAGAACCAACCTTGTAAGTTTAAGTATGGAACTCTCATCACTACCTTGACTTAAGACAATGGAGAGGAGAAGCTAATGACTGGATTAATCACCAATGGCTGATGACTGAATCAACCTTGCCCATATCAAGAGACCTCCATAGAAGCCCCAAAGTATAGGGTTCAGATGAGCACACGTAGGTTTCTGGAGGACACAGAAGTCCCCACCCTGACCCTACATCTTGCCCAACCCATCTCTTCATCTGGATGCTTATCTCCATCCTTTGTAGTGTCTGTTATAATAAACTGATAAAGAAATTGTTTCCTTGAGCTCTAAGAGCCATTCTGGCAAACTAGTCAAATCCAAGGGGCAGTAGTGGGAGTCCAATTTATAGCCAATGAGAAGTGCAGGTGACAGCCTACTACTTGCAAATTGGCACCTGAAGTGCAGTGTAGTCTTCAACTGAGCCCTCAACTTGTGGGATCTGATTCTAACTCTGGGTAGCTGATGTCGGAATTGACTGAATTCGAGGACTCCAAGCTGGTGTTCCTGGAGCAATCGTCTATGGTAGGGAGAAAGCCACACATATATTTTAGTGACCAGAGGAGAAATATTGTATTCTGTGGTAAGTGGTATTTGGAAAATTAGTTTGGTATTTCCTATTTTTCAGAAGAACATTCATACATTGCTGATGGGACTGTAAACTAACAGAAACACTTTGGAGGTATTATTATTCTGATATGGATTCCAGGGACCCCTGAATATCAAAGTAAAACAAAGCCAAGCAAAAACACATGATGTAAGTTTCCTTAAGTCCAGAGGGAAGGGGGACAGGAGACAGGGAAACATACACACAACACAGACAATGTAATCTTCAGATGTTGTTGAGTTTGCCAAATGCACCTCATTGAGAATTCTGTCCACTTCTGTGCAAAACAGGCTACTCTGATGTCAGTTTCCTGACTGGCTCATGTAGCATGCCTCATTGGCATACACGTTCAGTTCTCTGATAGCTATCCCTGCCTTCTGATTGGCTGTTATTCTCCTCCTGCCCTGATTGTTTAGCCTAGATCTGATTTTCATAAAGGGGTCAGAGAGTCACTTTGTATATAGAAGAGCCAGCACTGCCAAGTTTATTTGGCAACTCCTCCCTTGGAGTCACCCTCCTGATTACTGGGGCAGGGGTTTCTCACTTTCAATAAATGTTGCTAACTGTCCCTATCTAGATGGAAATTCTTCTTCAATGTGAGACAAGAACTGAGATCACTCTCATCATCCTGTGACAGTATCAGTTATGTTAGACCATAATGCTATGTATCTAACAACAAAATGATCTCACTGGAACATACCACAACGCCCTGATTTAGCTCGTATCTCTATGCAGATGCTGGACTCAGGCCGCGTAGGCTGGCCTCTGCTCATCCAGGCTGGTTTCTTGTGATCTGTGCTCCACTCAGTCTTTTGTCTACAAGTCAGACAGGAATCACTTGGTCTGGTATGCATTTGGATAGGGCAACTTATAAGCTTGGCTCTAGTTCCACTGCCTTTCCTTCTGCTGGGAGTGTTACAAGCTTATATTTATTCCAATAAGATCTGATGTAAGCGAAGATTTAATTTTGATTGTAACATAAGCAAATAGCAATTTATATTGAGTATACCTACAGCTATTTGAAAATATTTGAGAAATTTACCAAAAAGAGGAAGGAAAGGTAATATAATCATTTTTGTTTCAGTAAACCAATGCTAAAAATACTTGGTCCCATCCTCTATCCATTTTTCTCAACTAAAAGAATAAATATCACATCTTCTGTCTCCCCAAGTCCTTGCCTCCTCCCCAACACTTCCCCCTTTACAAAACTGCTTCCTGGGTTTTTTAAGTTTTCTGGAGATTTTACACACATTTTATCCCTCATGCTAAGCTACTGCTCTCTTTTCACTGTAATTACCAAATAGATATCTACAGCTAAAGTTTTTCATAGTTAATTTTCTTCAGCATCTTTTTCTCATTTTTCTTGGAAAATGTGAAGAAAGCGGGAGGAAGGTGAGAGTTTGTTGATACACCTGATTTTCATTCTGTCCTAGCGAAGTCTGAAGTGTTAATCTTGTCTTTCCCTTTAAACTAGGCAATGAGAATGGGTTGTTTTTCAATATTGCTTCAGCTTCATTAATATGTATGTAGTCTGCTGTAATTTCTTTTTAATTCATATAGTACTTTGAAGCTCACTTTATAAGCCTCTCCTGCTTCAGGCCTATGACTTCCCTTCTGACACATACATTTTCTTTCCCTTCATCCTCTCTGATGCACTTCATATCTCAGTGTAGCTCCTGGTTCTTCCATCTACTTTCTATCATTAGTCTTCCTAATCACTCCATGGCTTATCTTTTATGATTGTCTTTCAAAATCTCTTCGTCAATTCAATGTTTTTGAAAACCTTGCCATGGACTTCAAAAATAGTGACTACGCATTAAGTATTTATTCAATTAACAGATATGAGTGCTAAGCCTGTAGCAGGCACTGTCCGAGGACCATCCTATTCACCACGTGGACGACCTATGCCCCCAGCCTCATGGGGATGAAGGATCCATGCGGATGAGCACTTATAGGCACCATCACCACATGGCTGGCCAAGCACCCTTCACTGGAGGCTGCTCTCAGACCACAGAAGTGTCCATTTTCTGGGGAACTCCCTTCTAGGGCCCACTACATGGTATGTCCAGCGATGATTTAGTCTGTAGTGTAGTCCCCTCTTGGAAGAAGGCTGGCAGCATGAGGTTTGCACCTATCATTCAGCCAGTCTTCTACCTTGAAGTTCTCTCAGTAAAGCTTGTTTTGCTTTGTGCTTGCGTCATCTACAATTTCACAACTTGGAACATTACAATAAATGCTGGTCTTCATGGAATCTTGCTGAGTTAGAAATACTATGAAAATAGAAATCACCTTTATTTCAGGCCCAGAAATAATATTTTGGCTTTTAATTATTTTCTGGAAAATTCCTTTGGCTTGGATACTTTTAGTTTATTTCTATCCTAGGGTCCTTAAGAACTTGACCCTGTGCCATGGCCATAGATGGAATTTCCTGCCCTTCCCTGCTTTCGTACTTCAAGGGGAAGTAAAGAAAGTAAATACATTCGCTGCAATTCAGGACATCACCAAAGAACAAAATTCTCTCAGCCAATAGGCAGCACCATCATCTCCTTACGTGAGAAGCAGAAATTAGTGTCTGCCTCACTTGGATTTCTTTCCCAATTTAAAGGAATTGTAAATTACAAGCGGCCAAAGGGGGTTCTAAAATTCTGATCAGTAAGGAACAATAAATCGGAATTTTCAGACCACTGTTTCCTAATTTAGCCTCCTAAGTAAAACAATAGGCATAGAAATGGAAGAGATTGACTATCAATAAAAACAGTCTCGGCTGGCGCCGTGGCTCACTAGGCTAATCCTCCGCCTTGCGGCGCCGGCACACCGGGTTCTAGTCCCGGTCGGGGCGCCGGATTCTGTCCCGGTTGCCCCTCTTCCAGGCCAGCTCTCTGCTGTGGACAGGGAGTGCAGTGGAGGATGGCCCAAG